TATTCTTGAAGGCCTCTCCCTGACACGTGCACTAAACACATACTCAAATACATATATCAACCCAATTCATCATCAAAACACCATGTCTCGTCTTGCCATAGTGAAATTTGATTGAGCTGGCAATAACAGGAAAGATCCTCAAACCCAACTTTTGTGTTTCTTTAACCTGGCAACCACTGACTGGTTGATTGCCACTGCCAGAGAGGAAACAGTACATCTTGATGTCGTAATTATTCATTGTGTCCAGCAATGCACTGCAAGCAGTATAGTGCAGTATTCACTCAGTATGCAAGGTACAATGTAAAAAATGGTGCATTGCATTGTCACAATTATATATGTCACTGAGGGCACTTAACTAGCAGTGCCAAGATACATTATGACTACAATGATGCACAATTAAATGTAACGTGTAAATGGCAGGGAAATTATGCATTTAATTCACGACTGTAATTTCAATATACTGTTCTGTACATATATACTGCAATGAAACCCAACGCCTTACATTACATACAAGTGTGGACAGCATGTAAACTAATACTGTATAAAACACATATATAAACTTAATGCAGAATACCGTATATGAAGATATGTTCACGATCTAAAGACAAAATATATTGTGCTTACAAGATCACTAATTGCACAGATCAGTATCAAATGTAAAAACAGGCGTTTCATACACATCTTACATTGGAATCGTGTGGTAAATTGTCTTCATTCATTCAAAATAACCTGCAGCCTGGGGTATTCTACTTCGCTACATTGTATTTCTCCATGCAATACTCTCCATATGCCATAAGTACAATAATCTGGTTTAAAAACAAGCAACTCTACAGTATGTACTTACTTTGTGGCAAAGAAACTTATTTTAAAACGTGGGAGAAAAGTAATCAGGTCTTTACACACTTTGCACCTGAAAGAGGTTTGCAATGGCAAATAGAAAACTGAAAAGTACCCCCCATGCGAGCTCAATGTTCTCTCCAGAGTGACAGTGCAACCAGTCAAATGCAATAACTTCAACTGATGGAACCTATACGGCACTGCTGCAGAATCCACAACAACAAAAACTGACCGTTCAAAGAACACTAAATTGTACACATTAGAAGCGTTGCGGTAATCTGTCATATTATTAAACACGTGTCACGCACTAAACTATGCCACTATTTAAACTGCACTGCCTTTCCGTAGGTCTCATTAAAACGTCTTTGGCCCTACTCTTACGTGTTGCAATGTTTCGCACAATTCTAGTTTAAATTCGTGGGTATGCCGCACACTAACGTAGTGAATGCACACACATGTAAATAGTGCATAATACAAATACTCAAAACAGGGGGTGTATAAATATGTTAATATTCTGCCCAGGGATCCATGTCAATGGATGTGGCTCTTAGGTTTTGACTCGGCAAAAAATACAATCTTTGCTCCGTAACATAATATACGTAAGCAATGAGAATTAGTGAATTCGTTGGGCAAACTGCATGCATATTGACAAGGCAGGTCCCCCCTTAGCTGCACATCATCTCAGTGCATGCGTGCGTGTAGCCCAATTAAGAGCGATGCATATTTTATGACTTGACATAATTTTAGGAAGAGCAGTGACAACATCGTTTCAGATCATGCGCTCTTCCCAATTACGACATTCTCAATAGCAGCAGTCGTTCAACCCACCACCACCACCACCGCCAAACAGACCCAAAAATAAACACAATTGTTCTGATCATGTTAATCAGGATAACTGATGGTGCAGTACAGAAGCTGTAATGACTTTTGTGCATTGATCGGTGTTCCTAAAGCAGCAGGGAAAGCAAAAGACCTCTTGAGAAGGAAAAAAAATCAGTCACCTTATTAAGGCAGTGAGACCAATGCAAGCTGCATGGCACTGCGATTTCAGCCGCGCGTGTGTGTGTGTGTGTGTTGCATGTGTTGCATGTGTTTGTGACAGCACAGTGGGACAGCACAGGTAGAGGGCATCTGCCAGTCACCTCGGTCAGCCTTCTTCAACACTTCACTTGGCCTCCAAGTGCACCTAGCCTGACGCAGGTGCTGTGGCGATGGCGAATGGCGGCTGTTGTTAATGCATTGCCCGTGATGCATTGAGGACAGCCGTCAGGGCTGAGTGGATTTAAATGTGGGGATACGTCCCTACTCATCCGCTCCTGTCGTTGTTGTTGTTGCTGGTGGTGGTGGTGTGTGCAAGTGTAAATACAGCCATTCCTGAGTATATTAATTTCCCAAAGGAAACACTGTACGTTTATAAGCACGTGTTTTTATGCGTGCACTAGACTGCTCTAAACAACAGTATGATGATGATGATGACACGCTGGGAACTGCACGCAATTGACTATGCGCACACTGAACACAATTGTTACGCAAATACAACACACAAGTACACTGCACACACACTCGTATTATACACGTGATTTACACCGCATTTTTTAAAAATCATGTACACACGGTGAATTTACAATACACATTACACCTCAAATGCAGTACACAGTAATTGCTCCTTAATTAACACACTCAGCACACAGTACACTGCACATCACACGTACTACAACCCGCAACAAGCACACATTACTTCACAAAGTACACTGTGCTATGTACGTTGAACTTCTTTCGCACCGTACGTAGCCAACCGTGGCAATCCGAGTTGCGATTAGAACATTCCACGTTTCACTCTCGACACAGTACACACATTTACACAGTACACACATTTACACAGTACACACATTTACACAGTACACACATTTACACAGTACACACATTTACACAGTACACGCAGTTCACACTCCGCGCATGCAATATTCACGCACTCACAATAAGTGCCTAGACGCATTCACTAATCACACAGTACACCACACAGTGCACTTAGATACACAGTACACACAGTACACCTCACACACAGTACACCTCGCACACAGTACACCTCGCACACAGGACACCTCACACACGACACAGTACACCACACACACAGTACACCACACACACAGTACACCACACACACAGTACACCACACACAGCACACCACACACACAGTACACCTCACACAGTACACCTCACACAGTACACCTCACACAGTACACCTCGCAAAGTACACCTCACACAGTACACCTCACACAGTACACCTCGCACACAGTACACCACACACACAGTACACCTCACACACAGTACACCACACACACAGTACACCTCACACACAGTACACCTCACACACAGTACACCACACACACAGTACACCTCACACACAGTACACCTCACACACAGTACACCACACACACAGTACACCACACACACAGTACACCTCACACACAGTACACCTCACACAGTACACCACACACACAGTACACCACACACACAGTACACCTCATACACAGTACACCACACACACAGTACACCACACACACAGTACACCTCACACACAGTACACCTCACACAGTACACCACACACACAGTACACCACACACACAGTACACCACACACAGTACACCACACACACAGTACACCACACACAGTACACCTCACACACAGTACACCTCACACACAGTACACCACACACACAGTACACCACACACACAGTACACCTCACACACAGTACACCTCACACAGTACACCACACACAGTACACCACACACACAGTACACCACACACAGTACACCTCACACAGTACACCACACACACAGCACACCTCACACAGTACACCACACACACAGTACACCTCACACAGTACACCACACACACAGTACACCTCACACACAGCACACCTCGCAAACAGTACACCTCGCACACAGTACACCTCACACACAGTACACCACACACAGTACACCACACACACAGTACACCACACACACAATACACAACACATAGTACACCTCACACAGTACACCACACACACAGTACACCTCACACACAGGACACCTCACACACAGTACACCACACACAGTACACCACACACACAGTACACCACACACAGTACACCTCGCACACAGTACACCTCACACACAGTACACCACACACAGTACACCTCACACAGTACACCTCACACACAGTACACCACACACAGTACACCACACACAGTACACCACACACACAGTACACCTCACACAGTACACCTCACACACAGTACACCACACACACAGTACACCTCACACACAATACACCACACACAGTACACCACACACACAGGACACCACACACACAGGACACCTCACACACAGTACACCACACACAGTACACCACACACAGTACACCACACACAGTACACCTCACACACAGTACACCTCACACACAGTACATCTCACACAGGACACCACACACAGTACACCACACACACAGTACACCACACACAGTACACCACACACAGTACACCTCACACAGTACACCTCACACACAGTACACCACACACACAGTACACCACACACACAGTACACCACACACACAGGACACCTCACACAGTACACCACACACACAGTACACCACACACACAGTACACCTCACACACAGTACACCTCACACACAGTACACCACACACACAGTACACCACACACACAGTACACCTCACACACAGTACACCTCACACAGTACACGACACACACAGTACACCACACACACAGTACACCACACACAGTACACCTCACACAGTACACCACACACACAGCACACCTCACACAGTACACCACACACACAGTACACCTCACACAGTACACCACACACACAGTACACCTCACACACAGCACACCTCGCAAACAGTACACCTCGCACACAGTACACCTCACACACAGTACACCACACACAGTACACCTCACACACAGTACACCTCACACACAGTACACCTCACACACAGTACACCACACACAGTACACCTCACACACAGTACACCTCACACACAGTACACCACACACAGTACACCACACACACAGTACACCTCACACACAGTACACCTCACACACAGTACACCTCACACACAGTACACCACACACACAGGACACCTCGCACGCCCCGCGCACCTTCTGCTGGCGCCGGGCCATGTCCGTGGGCTGCTTGGCGTTGAAGGGGTGCGCGATGCACCGCAGCACGAACACGTAGAGCTGCAGTCGCCGCCTCTTCTCCTCGTCCTCCCTCTGCAGTCGCTCCAGCTCGTCCTTCTCCCTGTCCCCCCCCGACGCCTGCGACGAGGGCGGCGGGCTCGGGCTGCCCGCCGCGACCCCGGGCCCCGCCACGACCGCGGCGCCGGCGGCGGCGGCGGCGGCACCGGGAGCCGCGGACCCCGCGACCTGCCCGGCGGTGGAGCTCACGGCCGCGTGCCCCGCCGCGGCTGCCGCTGCCGCCGCCGCCGCTGCCGCCGCCTTCCCGGAGACTCCAACGGCGGCGGCGGCGGCAGAAGACGCCGCCGATGACGACGAGGAGGAGGAGGCTGAAGCCGAGGGACCCCCGGCCCCCGAGGCGGAGGGGACGGCGGCATCGTTGGCACGGGACGAGGCGGCTCGGCCGGCGGAGGGGACCCGGGACGAGGAGGCGGCGTCCCCCCGGGGTCTGTCGTGCAAGTCCTCGGACTCCTCCTCGCTGGACGAGGGGTCCAGCATGCTGGGCTGTCTCTCTGTGTCTCTCTCCCACCCTCCCTCCTCACCCTGTGTCTCTCGCTGGCTGTCTCTCGTGTGCCCGTGTCTGTCTCCCCGGTGTCTCTGTACGCCCGCGTCTCTCGCTCAATGTCTGTCTCTATTGTGCGTCTCTCCCCCTTCCAGGGAGTCCCCGTGTGTCTGTCACTGATCGTCGTCTTCCCCTCCTCCCCCGAGGGGTCAGTGGGTGTCTCCTCCGTGTCTCTCTCTGTCACTCACTGGCTGGCTTCTTATGCCCCTCCTGTGTTCACTCTGCTCCTATGTAGCCGTGTCAAGCATTGATCCACTATCTCTCTCTCTCTGCTTGTTCCAGGCTGTGCGTCACTTTGCCGAGTGTGTTCCTGTTCCCTTCAATGTGTTGCTGTGTTGTTTGTTAATGTTCTATGTGCAGTGTAAGTCTAAGTGTTGGATATGTCATACGTGGTTTTAGCACTGTGTATGTCTAGACGGCATGTGCAATGTATGGCCTGCGTGTGTATTGTCTGTGTATATGACGTGTTGTCATGCACATGTATGTACATGCCATGTGCTGCTATGTGTACATGTACGCAGTATAATCTAAACGTGCAATGTATATGTTAATGTATGTCTATGCGATATGTGCGTACACAGCTATGAATCAATAGTGATCTCCACAGCGTAGCATGCTGTGTGTTGCTGTAAGACTGAATGGGATGTTGCAAGCACAGCACTTGTGCCGTAGCGAGGAGTTTCCCTTGCCGCTGTTGCGCCTGCGGAAAAGTCAACAAAAGTGCCGTGCTGAATCGACTTGGATACTTTAACAGCAGATGCTGTTTAACAACAGCAACAAATTGTAATTCTTCGCGCACAACAGCTTCAGCGTGATCAGCAGCGGAGTGAGATTGTCAAACAGCAGCAGCAGCGGAAATGATGGGACAAGCATGGTAAACTAGGAACAGCAGACAGAGAAAGGCATCGACGAAAAGCACTCACGGAGTCAGATAGCGACGCATCGAATTGAAATACTTCCCACAACAGCAGACTGACAAAAGGAGCAACTACAGCCGGCGATAGGGCGAGAGCCGCCAGCAGTGGCAGGCACCAACTACAGCAAATCGACACAGATGAGAGAGAACAGCGCACAACCAACAGCTGGATGAGAAGACACCAACGGCAGATTGGCGGAATAATACAACAGCAGGGCACCGTCTGCACGGACACAGCATACGAGGTTGTCAAGCACACACCGACGGCAGATGAAAACACCAGCAGCAGGCGGTAACTGCAGCAGCAGCAGCACATGGACACAGCACGCGCGACAGCCGCCGCACCAACACCGACGAGCAACAGCGACACGAGCAGCTGGTACCAACTACACAGCACACGGACACTGCTGACAGGCATCGTGAGAGATGCACACACACACACCTCGGCAGCAGGATGAGAAGAGACGAGCAGCAGCAGCACCCAGACAGTGGAGACAGCTCCAACAACACCAACCAGTAGCAGCAGCACCCAGACAGTGGAGACAGCTCCAGCAACACCAACCAGCAGCAGCAGCACCCAGACAGTGGAGACAGCTCCAACAACACCAACCAGCAGCAGCACCCAGACAGTGGAGACAGCTCCAACAACACCAACCAGCAGCACAGCAGCACCCAGACAGTGGAGACAGCTCCAACAACACCAACCAGCAGCAGCACCCAGACAGTGGAGACAGCTCCAACAACACCAACCAGCAGCACAGCAGCACCCAGACAGTGGAGACAGCTCCAACAACACCAACCAGCAGCACAGCAGCACCCAGACAGTGGAGACAGCTCCAACAACACCAACCAGTAGCAGCAGCAGCACCCAGACAGTGGAGACAGCTCCCACAACACCAACCAGCAGCACAGCAGCACCCAGACAGTGGAGACAGCTCCAACAACACCAACCAGCAGCAGCACCCAGACAGTGGAGACAGCTCCAACAACACCAACCAGCAGCACAGCAGCACCCAGACAGTGGAGACAGCTCCAACAACACCAACCAGCAGCACAGCAGCACCCAGACAGTGGAGACAGCTCCAACAACACCAACCAGTAGCAGCAGCAGCACCCAGACAGTGGAGACAGCTCCAGCAACACCAACCAGCAGCAGCACCCAGACAGTAGAGACAGCTCCAGCAACACCAACCAGTAGCAGCAGCACCCAGGCAGTAGAGACAGCTCCCACAACACCAACCAGCAGCAGCACCCAGACAGTAGAGACAGCTCCAGCAACACCAACCAGTAGCAGCAGCACCCAGGCAGTAGAGACAGCTCCCACAACACCAACCAGCAGCACCCAGGCAGTGGAGACAGCTCCCACAACACCAACCAGTAGCAGCAGCGCCCAGGCAGTGGAGACAGCTCCCACAACACCAACCAGCAGCAGCAGCACCCAGACAGTGGAGACAGCTCCCACAACACCAACCAGCAGCAGCAGCACCCAGACAGTGGAGACAGCTCCAGCAACACCAACCAGCAGCAGCAGCACCCAGACAGTGGAGACAGCTCCAGCAACACCAACCAGCAGCAGCAGCACCCAGGCAGTGGAGACAGCTTCAACAACACCAACCAGCAGCAGCACCCAGGCAGTGGAGACAGCTCCCACAACACCAACCAGCAGCAGCAGCACCCAGGCAGTGGAGACAGCTCCCACAACACCAACCAGTAGCAGCACCCAGACAGTAGAGACAGCTTCAACAACACCAACCAGTAGCAGCAGCACCCAGGCAGTGGAGACAGCTCCCACAACACCAACCAGTAGCAGCAGCACCCAGGCAGTGGAGACAGCTCCCACAACACCAACCAGTAGCAGCAGCAGCACCCAGGCAGTAGAGACAGCTCCCACAACACCAACCAGTAGCAGCAGCAGGTGTTGGCTGTAGTAGCAAGAGTGCAGTGCTGGCCACAGGCAGAGAGCAGCACTGCGCTCGCCGTTATATCATCTCACACCGAGGTGCTGCTGCTGCTGTTGCCTCCTCTCTCTCCCCTCGCAAGACCCTCCCACAGCTCGCTCTCTCTCTCTCTCCCACTGTGTGTGGTGTGTGGGGGGGCGCTTTATTTTATTTATATTCTTTTTTTGATATTTCAATGCCCTCGAATTTCCCACCCCAAAGAAGACCGCATCGGTTGCCGCTGACCGCACGAACGCGCTCAGCGCGGTCGCTACGAGTCGTTGGCTGTGTGGTGTGCAGTGGGTACACGTGTGTTGTACTGTACATGCATGAGGTGTCTGTACTGTGTATACTGCATGGTGTGTGGACTGTGAGTGTGGTGGAGTGTGTACTGTGTTGTACATGCATGTAGTATCTGTACCATGTATACTGCATGGTGTATGTACTGTGTGTGTGGTGGAGTGTGTACTGTGTTGTACATGAATGTAGTATCTGCACTGTGTATACTGCATGGTGTATGGACTGTGAGTGTTGTACGGTACATTGTGACGTGTGTATTGCAACTGCACAATGTCGTCTACGATATATACTGCAAAGTGGGAGTGTGGTTTATTGTGTTTTGGTATTGAATGTTAGCCTTGTGTATTTTGTGTGTGTGCTGAATGGGGGTGTGGAGTGCATGTACACACGCATTGTGCCTTCACGTTATCAGCAAGATATACTGCACGATGCATATGGACTGTGTGAGTGCTGTGTGGAGTATTATGTTTTTGGATTTTGCGTGTTATCCATATGTAGGGTTTATCTATTGTGGTGCATGGGGGGGTGGGGGTCTTGTATTGTACCTGCATGTTATTTACTAAATACTGCATGGTGTTTGGGATGTGTATGGGGGAGTATGCAGTGTGCATTTGGGAATTGTATACGTTATCCATATGTAGAGAATATGTTGTGTGGAGCATGGGGCAATGTTGCATATTATTTTGTAATGTTATCAGTACGTATCTATTGTGTGTGTTGTGGTATTGGGGAGTGCTGTGTGTGTATTTTTATATACAATGTGTGCATGGGGGTCGCGTGGTGTATTGTATGTTATCTACACGTGTGCTGTCATCTCTTGTGTGGCGCATGGGGTCGTGTGTGTATTGTGCTGTATTTGTTAACGAGAGTATTGTGTGTGTGATGCATGGGGGAAGTGTCATGTGTTGCATGTGCGTTGTATATATGTTACATGTATGTTGTATGTAAGTTACATGTGTGTTGTCTGTATGTTGCATGTGTTGTATGTATGTTGCATGTGTGCTGTATGTATGTTACATGTATGTTGTATATGTTGCATGTGTGTTGTATGTTCAGTATATAGTGTACGTGTTTCATATAATGCATGGGCTGGTGTATTGCGTGTTTACAATAAGTACAGTATGGTATCTCGTGTTATATTTGCGTACATACTGTGTGTATATTGTAGTGTGTGCATCGTACATGTTATTTGCTATGCCTAAAGTAGTTTATCATGTAATTTACAGTGTATATGTAATTGGTATAGCAGTGTACATTCATGTCCTGTAGTGTTATGTACTCTACATTATGCTATGTATAGAGGGGCCGTCCATAAATGACGTCACGCACCTAGAGGGGGGGGGGGTCAGACATTTGTGACGATGTGTGACGAGGGGGGAGGGTGAAATGTGACGTCACATCAAAATGCGAAACTTTTATTAAATA